GATGATGACGATTATTCCGATGTTGACGATTCATGACGATTAACCAGCGACGATGACGACAACGTTAGCGAACTCGCAACTCAAACATCGAACTGCTTGTGGCCTGGGAAGCCTCATCACGAAGAGCTGTCAGTCGAACCAGACGCCCGAGATATTTCGACCCTGTCAAACTGTCAGCACCAGAGACATCGCGTGGTCGGAATGAGCCCCTGGTGCAAGGAATTGCATCTGTTTGTTTGTTCATATCTGACTCGTTTCATCATGTCACCTGGATAATCCGTCAAGATGGAATGGAGGTTTCCATCACTTAATGCGGTGGTCGTCCCAAAAAGGGCACAGCCAAGCGAAACCACACAAACTATACACAGCACACACAGTACACACAATACACACACACAGTACACACACAGCACACAGTACACACACTATAGATACAGTACATACACAGTACACACACACAGTACACACACATTGTACACACACACAGTACACACACAGTACACACACACAGTACACACACACAGTACACACACAGTCCACACACACAGTACACACAGTACAGCACACACACAGCACAGACACAATGTTGTCCAATGTCCGACCGCATAGCCCAGAGCTCAGCAACCAAAATAAGAAGAGCCATTATTTGATTCGGTTAATAAAAAAAAAAACGTCAAGAGCCGCACCGCACTCTGTGGTCAATACGAGACGGTCACGAACGCAGCAGTCGTCAAAGAGCCGCCGCGCGAGGCTTCGGACCCGCCGACCACCCCCCCCCCCCCCCCCCCATGGCATTGCCGCGGTGAGTTTAACCCGCACGTTATAGCGAGAAATCGCACAAACCGAAGCCGCAAAGAACGGTGTGAAACCGGCGTCTCTTGAGCGAGGGGTGGCCAGGGTATCAATTACATCGGGCCGTGGCTGTACCGGTATCCAACATCCACGTCGTAACTCGGCGCTTGGGACCCCTCTGGTTTCGACGAGCTACTTGTGCAGCTGCACCGCCTGCACACCCGATATCCCACGCCACTCTCCGAAGCCCGCCCTACATGGGTCGACGCTTCCCGAGTGAAAACACGTTTCGTGATTGGGGTGTTTTTTGTTGTTGTTTATTCGGGGCATAAACTCTCCGTCTGCCGATCCCAACCCACATTTGGGCTCCTGCATCAGCAGCAGCAGCTCTGACTCCCACTCGCGGGCGTAAATCAATCGAAGCATCCACCTCGAAACGATGTTTTGAGTTCGCTAACGCTCGCGTACGAGCAGTGTCGTGGTTTATTTTTTTCTGTTGGGTTCGAGTCGCGTTGGGTCGCGCGTATTGGAGTCGCGCCACTGCCGCAGCCACTAGTGGCCGCTACACACTCGCAATTAGTTGATGTCGGTCTAACCCTCCACCCCCCCCCCCCATGTCCAGGTATCGCTGAAGGAGGAACCCATTTCGACACCCACGTGTCTCGTCAGCGGAGCCAATCATTGCTGGTGAACCCAAGCATTCACTCCCAGAGGGGGCGCGATGGATTACGTACAGAACACATTCCTGCGGAGGGAGCTGGTAGGAACGTTGGGTTTCTCGGTCAATGGCCAGGATCAACGGTGGCGTGGTGTATTCCGCAAATATTGCCGACTGTGAGGGCGGGCACAAGCCGGCGTGAGTAGGTTAAACGTTGAGTTTTATAAGGGCACCACGGGGTGACCAGCCCCTCCCCACCCAGCCCCACCCCACCCAGCCCCACCCTCCACACCCTCCCCACCCAGCCCCTCCCCACCCTCCCCTCCCCACGCAGCCCCTCCCTCCCTATCCAGCCCCTCCCTGCACGACGGACGGACGGACACAATAATCCCCTGTGGGCTGGTGGAACCAGTGGGTTCCTACCAGTAATACTTGTTCTTGCACGGCAGGCAACAGTCATACTGTGAATATTAAAGGGAACGTCGTCGGCTGATCGGTTTTGCTTTTAACCGAGTGGGCGGCGAGGTTATAAGGGGTCACGGAGCGCAGAGAGCCCGCTCCGTGCTGACTCACGACCCGGGACACGAATCCCTGCATCACCGTCATGTTTACAACACGTCCCCGTCTGCCTCTAAATCACTTGTTGTTGTTGTTAGCGTGAGTGCTGCCGATGCTGCGATGTATTTATTCTAATGCACTTCGTGACAGTCACGCCACCCATGAAAGAAAAAAACCCATCAGAAAGTCAAAGCCCGGCAATTTAAATCAATTGTTGGGCAGTGCTCACGTCCATTGCTGGTCTCTGAGCTGAATGCGGCAACTCCACATGCGCATGCTGCAGCGTGCGCAACATTCTGTGTGGCACGTGGTCGTGACGGGCACCGCAAGATCTGACCGTGTCCGCCTGCATCGGCGACCTACCGGTTGCTGATGGGGCACATTGCAATGTCACACTCGTAACACACAAAGTGCTTGGCGCAAAATGAACCACGATACCTCGCTGGTCTCGTCAAGGAGCACGAACCATCATCACGCGAACTCCGCTCATCCTAGAGCAGCGACAGCGGAGTTTGGCTCGGCCATCGAACAAAAGCGGCGATCACCGCATCGCGCGGAGATTTGAGACGCGCTTCTGTGGCCGTCTGGAACGCTCTCCCCGCCGATATTCGGAAGCCACTGGAGCTATGCACTTTTAAATCATCTATATTGACAAACTAATTTATGCATAACTGCCTTGTGTGTTTAGTTTGTTGTCCTTTCCTTAGCACGGTTGGCTGCGTGCGGTGTGAAAGAAGTTCAACTTACGTACGGGCTGCTAATAGCACAATCACATTCTAATTGTCTGCCTCCTTACCAAGGGGTGTTGTTTTGTCGCGAAGTTTCCTTGTTCACTGATGGAACTTTATCCCACCATTCGACGCCCTTACAGCCCTTAGTCAATCCGCTGCTGGATGAAGACCTAATCCACTCTACTTCGCTCGCGACGGATATCTGCCCTGCCTCTCGCGAACATCTAACAACGCGTTTCAGCACGGCAAGCCACTTAATCCAAGCACTATCCAGGCTCACCGCCTGCTTAGCTTCCCAGGTCTGCACAAGATCATTACAACCGATTAGGTCTATGGGCAATTGTGGCCGTATCGAGCGATATTAAACATCTGTGGCGCAGCCTTTGTCAACGTGAATTCATCTCGAAAGCGACCCAAGCGTGTTGCGTGTGTTTTGTTTGGACGTGTGCATAGTTGATGGTCCGAGGCGAGAGCACAAACGGAATGAACGATGATGAAAGCCTCTGCAGGGTTAACGATATATGCAGAAGTCTGATCCGTCCGACATATGTCCATATGCATATGTCAATATGCATATGGATAACACGGGATTATGTTTATGCGTGTGTATAACACGCGTTTATACGCATGTACCACGTACTGTCTATACCCAGCATAAGCATATTTAAACACAAAGATCCCCCGTATAGCCTTAACAGACTGTTGGGGCAAGTGCTGTTAGCGAGCACCTATGAAGGCCGGCACGGCACACGAGGGGGTGGTTGGCCAGCACCACGCCCGGCCGCCTTTGTCTCCATAGTGGCGATGTTTACACAGAGCACCAGGTATTCATTTGAGGCTGAGACGACCTAGGGGAGGCCCACAACCGGTTCAGATAATTATCATCATTGGTGTTGGCCGCGAGCGGGAATCTAACTCGTGTCGTCCTCGGGTTCGTAGCGCAGCGTAGCGCTAACCGCTGCGCCACCGCTCCCCATGTGCACAAAGACAAAGATCCCCCAGTATAGCCTGAACAGACTGTTGGGGTAAGTGCTGTTAGCGAGGACCTATACACACCGTGCCGGTGCACACACTCACACACTCACCACAGACACTACACACACCACACTCACACACTCACCACACACACCACACACACTCCACACACACACACCACACACACCACACACACACTCACACACACTCACCACACACACTCACCACACACACACTCACCACACACACACCACACTCACCACACACACACTAACCACATACACACTCATCACAAACACACCACACACACACCACACTCACACACTCACCACACTCACACACACACACTCACCACACTCATACACTCACCACACTCATACACTCACCACATACACTCACCACACACACTCACCACACACACACCACACTCACACACACTCACCACACACACTCACCACACACACCACACTTACACACTCACCACACACACACTCACCACACACACACCACACACACCACACTAACCACACACACACACCACACACACACCACACACACACCACACTCACCACACACACACTCCCCACACACACACCACACACACTCACACACACTCACACACCACAAACACACACCACACACACTCACACACACCACACACACTCACACACACACACTCACCACACACACTTACCACACACTGACACACACTCACCACACACACCACACACACACTGACACACACACCACACACACTCACCACACATACTCACCACACACACCCCACACACACACACTCCCCACACACATACACTCACCACACACACAGCACACACACATCACACACACACTCACACAACACACACCCCATTCACACCACTCACACGCATCTCACCACACACACACCACACACACACTCGACACACACACTCACCACACACACACTCACCACATCACACACTCACCACACACACATTCACCACACTCACTACACACACACTCACCACACTCACCACACACTCCACACTCACCACACACACACACACTCACCACACTCACCACATCACACACAAACACACCACACACACACCACACACTCACCCCACACCCCCCACACACACACCACACACACACCACACACACACACACCACACACACACTCACTACACACACACTCACCCCCCACACTCACACACACACACCCCACACCACACACACACCACACTCACCACACACACACTCACCCCCCACACACACTCACCCCACACCACACACACCACACTCACCACACGAAGACGCTCAGCGCCCACGCCAGCGCGCCGCTGCGCACGGCTCGCGAGCAGGCGCGGTGGTGCGCCACCATGTAGCGGTCGAGGCTCATGATGACCAGCACGTAGACGCGCGCGAGCATGTTCAGGTAGCGCACGGACACGTGCAGCTTGCACAACACGCTGCCGAACGGCCACTGGCCCGCGGCCATGCTCACGGCCCTGGGCAGGTCGGCGAGCGCGACGAGGGCGTCCATGAGGGCCACGTTGAACACGAGCACGGCGGTGACGGTCTTGCGCTCCGTGCCGCACAGCGTGGCGGCCACCACGGCCGTGTTGCCCGCCACGCCGAGTGCGCACAGAAGGGCGAACAGACCGGCGCCCGCGGCAGACGACGCGTCCGTGTTCTCGAACACCAGCATTGTCGTTCTCGGCGTCTCCTCCTCCTCCGCGTTCTTCCTCGTTTGCTGTTGCTGCTGTTGCTGCTGCTGCTGTTGCTGCTGCTGCTGTTGCTGCTGCTGTTGTTGCTGCTGCTGCTGTTCCTGCTTCTGCTGCTCTGTCCCGATAGTACTGCTGTTACTGCTCCTTCCCACTATTCCTGCTGCTGCTGCTCATCCTTCCCGCGATGCCTGCTGTTGCTTCTCCTCCCGATATTCCTACTGCTTCTGCTACTCGATCCCGCTATTGCTGCTGCTGTTACTGTTGCTTCTACTGCTCCTACCCGCTATTCCTGCTGTTACTGCTCCTTCCCGCTATTGCTGCTGCTCCTCCTCCCGCTATTGCTGCTGCTGCTGCTATTCCTCCCGATATTCCTACTGCTTCTGCTACTCGATCCCGCTATTGCTGTTGCTGCTGCTGTTCCTGTTGCTTCTACTGCTCCTTCCCGCTATTCATGCTGTTACTGCTTCTTCCCGCTATTCCTGCTGCTGCTGCTGCTATTCCTCCCGCTATTCCTACTGCTTCTGCTACTCGATCCCGCTATTGCTGCTGCTGCTCCCGCTATTGCTCCAAGCGACACGAGCGACGCGCTAGGCAGGCGCGCACGTTACCGCCGCGCGCATCCCAGCGGCGAGGATGAGTCCGACGCGAACGGGAACATCGCCCGCTGTGACTGCTGCTGCTGCTGCCGCCACCGCCGCCGCCGCTGCTGAATGAAACGAGGCGACGTTGCGAGGCTTCACGCTCCGATGACGACGAAGGCGGCGATGATGAAGGACGTCAGCCAGGCGCGGAGAGGCAGAGACGCGCTCGCGTCTGGGATGTGCACTGAGGTGGGGGAGCAGTTGAGATTTTGCTTTTGAGTCACTCGGCCAAGTCGCAGTGGAGGATGGGGAGGCGGGGGGCGGTAGGTGTGGGGGGGGATAGACGGGCGTGGGAGAAAGCAGAGGGGGTGGTGCAGAACGAACAATAATTGTGGGTCTCAAGTCTGTGTTCGAGACCACCCAATGGACAATGATAACGGCCTTGATCAATCCTCCGCTGGATGATGAAGGGACCCCCCCCCCCACCGGGATGTAACAACCCACTTAGCGCGTGGCAATAAGAGAGCTGATTCCATTGCTCCATCTCTGCGCGGTGGTCCCGAGCTGCCGGGCGGTGCGCGTTCCGCCTAATTCGTGAACGCGTTGATCGGAGCAACCCCCCCCCCTCCTCCCTCGCGAGCCATTGCGACTCGTGGATACATTTATCGTAGTGCAGGGACCGCGATTCGATTGAAGGATCGGTTTTGTTTTGACTCCCTTACCGACTCGTTCGCACAGTGTTTGTTTTCTCTACGTGTGAGCCTAGAAGCGACTTCAGATAAATGTAATTTGCGTCTAGTTGGAATACGCGTACATCGCACAACCATTAACTGGGATGCGTGCATTGTCAGCCTTTAGATTAGATATCAATCGATGTATGTATCGTTGCACATGGTGGTGAGATGCTGTCTCCCTCGCCTGGTAAGCAGCAGGTCGTGGGTTCGATACTGACCCTGGTGATGCCTGTTGCATATTTGGTGTTTTCGTGTTTTCTCTCTCTCCCCGTGTCGGTCACGTGGTTTTTCTCCAGGCTGCTCCGTTTTTGCCCGCTTCCACGCTTATAACCAACATCCGTTTAGATTGACTGCGACTAGAAATTCCCACGTATGATGATATCAGAAGCCACTTCTATGAGCTGTCATCATGTGTGGCTCGGTCGCCTCCGAAAAAGAGCTGAGAGCTCAAACGCAGCTGCAACGCCTTCAAATCATCCGAGAATTAAAGCCGCTGCACTAATTTTCGACCTCCAGAAATCATCCCACATCACGCAAATTCAAAAAAAACTTACACCGGTTACCAATCAAATACAGGATTTACTTCTAAATCATCCTCCTATTAACATACAATACACAACTAGGCTCCACCTTACATCAAACACCTCGTAGAGATCAAAGCAAAACAACAGATCACTTTGCTTCTCAACCCACACCACTCCTCTAACCAGCAGCAACCAAACACACAAACCACGTGCTTGGACAGATCTTTCTCGCTTGCAGCACCACACCTCTGGATCAACCTCCCCGAAGCAATCCGCACACTCGACTACATCACGACATGCGAGTTACAACTCAACAACAACAACAACACATCTCTTTGCACTTGCATCCAACTCGTTCACAGGCACTACTCGCTTTTATTTTTTTATATTTTAAACAATAGATGATATTTTTTTTATCAGTTTATAGAATTTTCTACTTTTATGTTTGAGTATGTATGTGATGATGGCGCTTTGAGTGGCAGATTCATGCCAGAAAGGTGCCGCCACGTGTGGCGTTGAAAATACCGCAGTAAGAATAATGTCCTTTATTTATCCTTTTTTATTCAATTTTATTTATCCTTTTAATTTATTCAAAAAAACCTGAATGAGTCTCAAGACTTCTTTTTTAACAAGAGGTTCTTGTTACATTAAGATGTCTTAATATCCAAGCAATTATGGGTAAGGAAAGATGTCCCCAAGACGATGCTCACTCTGGCACGTTTCGACTGCCAATCCTGAGACCTTTTAATTCCTTCCGTTCCATGCGCCATGGAACGAATTGAGATTTTCTGGCCAATTTCAGCGATGTTCGCATAAGAGAGGCTAACACTTGTTGAGACAGGTAAGGCCCCACCGATAAAAAAAAAATTCAAGGGCGGCCTGCCCATGAACCCGGCAGCGAGACGTTATGAGGATGATGTCACATAGGATATTGACAAATTAAATACAATTATAAAGCACATCTATTTATTTGTTAAAATTACAGAATCCAAGGGGAAGGCCTGCAAACGCATAAACGTGAAAAGCGGCATAGCATTCAAACGAAAACGTTCAAAGTGACCCGAGGCGTGATTTAATAGCTTTTTAAATGCCTTGGTGTAGCAGCTGCATGGCTCGTATGAAACTGCATTGAGACGCGTGGCAGACACGCTCGTGCAGTCCCGCATAGATCCACCCCCCGAATCCACCCACTTGCTGTACTACCGCCATATCCTGCCACGCTTGCTTCCAAAGATCGCTGGCGTGCAATAGCTTGACACATCACATCATCGGCGTGATGCAGAAGTACACTTTTTTTTCTTCTATCAACCGAGGCCGTTTTTTCTTTTCGCCTCTGACGAATTCACCGGTCACGCTCACCATCTAGTCGGCTCTTTGAAGCTAAGCAGGTTTGAGCCCGGCTTTGCACTGGTACGTACGCACTTTGAACTTCTTTCACACCGTACGTAGCCAACCGCGCTGATCGGGAGGTGCGGGATGGACGACCACCGGGGGACTTTGCCCTAAGAGGTGGCCAAGTCATAGCAGTGCAGCAATGGATTCTTGAATCCATCTGTGAAAATCTTTGAGTGGTATCCCTCTCCTCCCCAATTTCATGCCCCCCCCCCACCTACCCTTGTATAAAATGTTTTTTATGGGTACCGAAATTTACCCCGGCACCGCTAATGAAGCCTTGACAGAGTCTTAGCATCAGCTGAGATGTAATGATGATGACTACCAATGATTGCTGGGAGGGGAAACAACTTTAAAAAAAAATTATACAAATGACTAAACTCACTGGCGTAGCTCGTGAAATGTCAATGAGTTTAAAATGTGGTGCTGTACAAAAGCTTGCGATGTACAACTTGTCAGAGAGCTTTCAAGTGAAACGAAATGAAATGTGCTCAGCGCGATGACACGCGCGATGACTCGCGCAACCGCGCTGTAGCTTCGACACGCGTGAATATGCGGTGTGGTGTGTGTACGTGTGTGTGTGTGTGTCGACTCAGCCTTAAATGAGTACCTGGTGCGATGTGTAAACATCGTCACTAGGGAGACAAAGGCGGCCGTGCGTGGTGTTAGCCACCCACCCCCTCGTGTGCCGTGCCGGCCTTCATAGGTGCTCGCTGACAGCACTTGCCCCTACAGTCTGTTAAGGCTATACGGGGGATCTTTGATCTTTATCTTTGTCGGTGTGTGTACGGGTGTGTGTGTATACGTGTGTGTATACGTGTGTGTGTGTGTGTCTGGGGGAGCGGTGGTGTATTGGTACCGCGCTGCGCTACGAACCCGATGACCCGAGTTCAGTGACGATTGTACGAACCGGTCCTGGGCTTCCCCTAGGTCGACTCAGCCTAAAATGAGTACCTGGTGGCGGTGTGTAAACATCGCCACTGGGGAGACAAATGCGGCCGGGCTTGGGTGATGGCCACCCCTCAGTGGGGCTTGCAGGTCATTGAGCCGATACGCCCGTGGCCCTTTGCGGCATCTATCACGATGCGCTTCCCCTCCACTCTCGCGTCATTATCCCCGCTGCTCCAATGTCCGTTCCCTCGTCTTCTGTTAACACACCGTTCATCTCCGCCCTTCCCATCGCAACTCACCTCGCGCAATTGCCTTCCCTGGGCTGCTGCTGCTGCTGCTGCGTCTTCTCGTCATTCGCTCCACTCTCTCGCGGTGCGCGTGTGATAATCTCGCTGCATACAAAGACCCCCCACCCCCCCCGGCACAGCCTTTAAACAGATTGTTGGGGCAAGCGCTGCTAGCGAGCACAATGTGAAGGCCGTCGGCACGGTGGCACACGAGGGGGTGGGTGGTCAATACCACGACCGGCCGCCTTTATCTCCCCAGTGCTGATGTTTGCAAACCCCGCACACCACCAGGTACAATACTCATTTAAGGCTAAGTCGATCCAGGGAGGAACGGTTTACATTGTTGGTGTTATTAGTCCTACACATACGGCATACATACACATCATCGGCCATTATCTATGTATTGCTTGGTGAATGCATTCCCATGCACTCACATGTACATATCCTCTTTAGTACATACAAAGACCTCTCATATGGCCATGTAGACTGTTGGTGCTGCTGAACTTAGTAAGGCTGGCATGGTGCACGCTGGAGCAGCGATGCCAACACCACGCCTGGCCGCCTTTGTCTCC